CAGAAAAGACATCTGTTTCCATATGTTTTGCCATCAGATCCACAGTGTGGTAGATATTCCAGGGTGCACATAAGAGAGGGTTCTTTGAAGTTTCTGCAATAGTCCTGCAGACAGACAAATGACAGAGATTTTGTGGCCTGCCTGAGTGCAATGTCAGTCCCCAGCAAGAGGAATGATACCACCCCAAAAATGAGACCCTGTCTGTGAGATCATGATAAGAACTGAGTCCCAAAGTTTCCTCCCGCTGGCAGGTATGATCTCAGAGTACTGCTGCTCACTGTCACACTCTTCCTTCTGCTGTTATGGAGCAACAGGATGGATGGTGGCTGACCAGCCATGACCAGAGGAAATTCCCAGGTTTATCTCCTTAAGTCTGAACACAGTTCCCCCAATTTGTAACACAGTTAGGGTTAGGGTAGAGCAGCCTTTAATAGACATGAGCCCTGCCCCCTGGTTTGCATTTGTTCTCACTCACTTTTACAGCATCTTCTGCACATTTTCCATTATTTCTTTTGCCAATGTTGCTCCGCTGCTCTCTGGAAGAAAAAGACGCTGATGTTAGTGACAAACTTGCCAGTTAGTGACTAACTCACCATTACAACCACAATGTGAGAGCACAGCCTAACTCACATGCAGCATACAGGTGATTTTCAGATAAATCAGCTTAGCATTGCCTGTGCCATGTTAGTGTGCAATGCAATGGGCCAGGGCTGTGCCTTTTGGACAAGTGGTCCTGCCAGCTGATGCACGCCCTGTTGCAGAACTCAGAGCAGTGTCCTGGTCCTTGCTGAATCCCAGTTGCAGCCTGGGCAGCTGGGAAACAAGGCAGGCTGAAGGGACAGGGAGGGCAGTCAGTGGCATTTGGCTCCCCTGTCCAACACAGGGTTTCAGATGCAGGCTTTGGCACACCACTTGGCATTTGTGGGAGCCCATCCAACCTAATCCAGCCAGGCACAGCTGATGCCCCCAGGAGAAGGCATGTACTTACAGATTGTGGGAGCACAGCACACACTCGCTGGGATAGGTGACACCATCGGTACCACAGACAGGACTGTAGATCATCGTGCAGATCATCAGATGCTGGCCGTCATCCGTGGTGACTGATCGGTACTTGCTGCAGTTGAGCTGGGAAGCAAACACAGCAAAACCCTTGTTCGGCCTCTGCTCTGCAAAATAGTAACCCAGATGCAGCCCCCAACGTATGTCTTTTGTGATCTGCCATAGGATAAAATAGGGTCATATATTAACTCATCCTCCCACTGGGACCTGAGCAGAAGCAACATGGCAATTTCCTTTCAGAACCTTCAGCCGGAGAAGACCAAAACGAAGTTGACAGGAAATCTCTCTCCCTCCACTTTGTATTTATTGTGCTGCCCTTATACCTCACTGAGCATGCCATGATATTGCAAAATGCAGCTCAACAACAATCTGCAAATCAACACAGAACGATTTATCCCCTGCCTACAAGAGAACTGAACGTGACCAAGGAGTTTTCCATGGCCCACAAGAGTTGGGGGTGGGATGCGCCGACAGGCCTTTTGTTCCAGCGGGCCAGCTCTGGCTGCTGAAATCTGCCAGGAGGACTGACAGCAGCTGGGGCTAATTCACACTGGTTGAAGAACTGGCATTTTAGCACCACTAGTTTCTTCAGTGTGAGCTCTTCTTACTGATTTATGTGTCTCACCCGGTCTGAGCACAGGGTGTACTGGGGAAACAAAGGATGACATTTCATACTCTGTTTGTATAGAAATGAAATATCTGACTCAGGATGTTGACTCTTTGAAACACATGCTAATGAGACAGCTTTGTTTTTCTGTTTCCCAGTGGGTGTGAATCGTTTAGAGCTGGTCAAATATGGTTAATTTGGTATTTTTACAAGATTCATTGTTGGTATACATTAGATTATGTTGCATTTGCAAGAAAAACAGAGAGGGCTTTGAATCCCCTCAGACATTAGGAATCAACATTCCAAACACAGGGACAATGATTTTCTAATCTATACAAAACATCCCTTTATAAAACTTAACGTCTCCAGAAAGCAGAGACACCCTAGGATCCCGTGTCCCCTTTCCATATTGCCAAAGCAGACAGCTAAGTTCCTCCTGCCACTGTGATAGACTGCTGTGGGAAAGAGATTTATTTTCATTGTGCCTTAAATCATTTGTTACCCATCTCATAACTCATTCCTCACCTGTTCTCCTTTCTTTCTGCTTAAGACTCTGTGCAGGAAGTGCACAATGTTCCTGCTGTCAGGAGCCAGGTATTCACCCGTGCAAGGAAGGACAGCATGAGCTGTGTGACCTGGTGAAGGCCAGGCTATCCAAACCAGCCAGCACTTACTCAAGCTAAGGACTTAGCATCTCCTCAAGCTCCCATTTTTCCTTTAAGTTTCACTTACTGGAGGAACCTCCTCGATGCATCTTCCATCATGCTTTTTGCCTATATTGATTCCCAGTTCTCTGAAAGAAAGAGAAAAAAGGGGGGCTGAAGAAATCTCAGTGATGGACTCTCCCTGTCTTAGCTCCAGCAGCAGCTGGGAAGCACTGCTGGTCCCTCAGCAGAGGATCTCTAGGGCTTACAGGTTGCGGGCACACAGGGCACAGTCATTGCTGTAGGTGACGCCATCCGTTCCACAGACCTCCTGCAGGATGAAGGGACAGGCAGTGACGGCCTCTCCGGATTGGGAAGTGCTGGTCAGGTACCTGCTGCAGTCAAGCTGGGGAGATAAAACAGAGCCAAGTCAGCCCCCGTGGTACAAAAACACTTCTCAGCTGCAGTTTGCCCGCTCTATTCCTCCAGACTTTAAAAGCTTCTGCCAGAGAAAAAGTAGGGTTGTATTTTAATTTTAGTCTTCCTTTAGAAATGCAGTAAGTAATTTTAGTTGGCTTTAGTATTGTCTGCTAACAGAGGAAAGAAAAGAATTGACAAGAAAGATTATTTTCCCAGACAAGTATCTATGCAAGTTTTCCATGTCCTAAAGAAAATTAACTAGGTTTTAAAACAAACATTTTGCCCAAGGAATCAGATTTAAAGGATTTTACATTAAGTCTGGTTTGACATAGAATTAACTAAATCTGAGATTCAGTTTCACCATTTTCAAAATAGCAGCAAGGACCATTTCATATGATTGTGTTGTAAAATGCTTTACAATATATAAAAAGTGCCACTTCAAATATTGGAGGACAAACAAGCAAACAGTGGAAGTCAGTCTATATCAGCTAGGCATCTGACCCTCCACTGTCATTTTGCATAGTTTCCCCAGTGTAGTGTCCCTTATCACCAAATTTCTCACATGGTCCAAGGACAAATTAAAGCAAAGATAATAGTGTCTTTATTATTCAAATCATATTGCATTCCCTCTGGGCGCATGAATTTATTCTCAGCGCTTCAGAGCAGTTCTGCGTATGCAGAATAAATGCATAGAGATATTATCAGCATATATTGTTGCTGTGGATGTTTATAAAGCTATTTCTGTATCTGAAACTAGGAGCAAAAGTTTCACGGCCAACTGGAGCATCAGGGTTTCCTAACCCACCTAATTACTGCAATGGAAATCCTAAAACTGAAGGAATACACTGAAATCTAACAGGGTCTTCTGCCTTCTTTTCATATCATCCTAAAATAGGCTGCTTGATTCTAGGGCTGCTTCTGACAATTTCTGTTCAGAGCTCTGCAGTATTGGGACATTTTGTTTCTCAATTTCTGGGCTATTCCTGTTCTCTCTCGCCCTGATGTACAGTACGTTGGCAGCAGCTGTTGCAAGCAGCTAGGGAGCAATGCAGTGCCAGCACAGGGCTGTACAGCAATCCTCTCTGCATTTGGGAAGACAGACAGCTCAGCAAAGCAAGCCAGAGTGTTTCTGGAGACCGTAAAGAGAGCAGACTATCGCCCTTATTTTACATCTATTCAGACTTACCGGGAGAGCTTTAGTCTTACATCTTCCATCATGACTCTTCCTAACATCGGTTCCATGGTCTCTAGAAAGGCAGAGGTTGATATTAGCATGCTCACCAAGTAAGCCAAGGACACGCAGCCACCATAAAAAGTAGACCTAATTCATAGTCTATATAAATGATACAGGAAACATCCACTGCCTAGATAGCTGTTTTTTCCCTGTCCTTAGCAAGTATAGTCCTAAACAGTAACAGATATATCAGGTCTCCTCAGTGTGCTGAGCAGCAGTCCCATCCACCCTTTCCTCTGCCCAGATACCACAGCCCTCACAGTGTGCACTGGTTGACATTTGCTCTTCCACAGCTCCCCTGATGTGCACAAAAAGAGGGTCAGGGAAGAAAATCAAGGCAGTGGCTCTTCAGGAAATTGAAAGATGAATAGAAATACAGTTATAGGCAAGTGGATATTAAGAGAAGAGCTGCCTGGACCACTAGCCATAGCTAGTCACTGCAAAGGGAAGTCCTATATGTAGTACTTACAAGTTATGGGCACAGATGCCACACTCATTGTCATAAGAAAACCCATCTGAGCCACAGACTGGGTCGAGAATCTTCGGACAGGCTATCCGGGCTCTACCATCCTTAGTTGCTCTTGATGGATATTGACTGCAGTCAAGCTACAAAAGCAGGAATATCATTACTGATAGTTTTTGTCTCAGAAAAGACTTACTCCAATATAATATCCTGTTTTTCTAGATGTCTTTTATGCTTGGATGCTGAAACAACTTTGGTGTTACAAGCCATCTTGAAAAACCATCCTGAATCAGCTCTTTCAAACCATCATGAATCCGCTCTGCATGAATCCCATCATGCACAAAAAGAGCCACACACTGCTGCATAGTTTGAGACACCCAAGCAGCTAGGTCAATCTCAAATGCTGCCCAACTTTACTTCTGACTACAGGGGTTTAGAACCTGAGCAAGAGCATTTGAAATGTAGGTTAGAAAATCAGAAAAGAACAATCCCATGTCATTCTGTAGTACAGAAATTAAAAACAAAACAAAAAGACAAAATTAAAAAAAAGAGTGAAGCAAACTAGATTTTGCTGATAATGCAATTGAAGATCATCCTCAAAGACCTGCAGTCAAGACAACCGGCCTCCACAGTTACGTGCTGGCATGTCTGGGACCTCCCTGGAACCAGGCAACTATGCTCGGAGCAAAACTTCAGGTGTGCTCCATATACCAGCATACACCCCCACTCCAAAGGTTGGCGTGGGAGTGAATTTGTAATGCAGACTCCGTGCCTAGCACAGCGGCTCACATGCAGCCCATCTGCCAGGGCTGTGTAGGCAAGGAAGGCCCAGATGACACCTGCCTCAAGACAGATGGGATTTGTGGGCGTCCTGAACGCAGGGGGCTCACAAGGCTCAGTGGACATGTGGAGAAAGCCAGGCTTCAGACCAGCTCACTTTCAAAATAGAGGTAGCCTCAGGGAATCTTTCAGTTAATATAGGCAAAAGGATAAATATGCATTATATTGTACTCACTTCAGGAGAAGGAACAGTCTGTTTGCATTTTCCATCGTGCTTTTTACCAACATGGGCCCTGTGTTTTCTGGAAGAAGACAATGAAGTTGAAGAACTCAATGTTTAATCTCCTGGTCACATTCAGATGCAAAAGGAATCAGATATAGCAAATATCTGACAAATTAAGGTTTCAACCTCTACAGGAGTGTATGAAAATAACTACATTAGTCTACTTGTTAACAAGCTTGTCACATCTTCTAAAAACATATAATTTGAAGTGAGATTCTGAACTATTCCTTCATCCTCTTAGTCACAGGCCAGCTGACAGTCTAATCCAGAGAACTGTCATCTGACTCTTCCAACCTTCCCTTATGAGCACAAAAAGGAAATCAGAAGAAAATTCAAGGTAGACCCCCAAACAAGTTTCTAAGAAGCTTGAAGGAATAAGCATAAGAAGTGTAAAAGGACTGTTACCAGCACTGCTAAGTGCTGCTGGTAGCTCAGAAGGAAGGCTCCATGTGTGGCACTTACCCATTATGGGCACATAATCCACACTCATTTTCATATGTAAAACCATCTGTGCCACAAACTGGATCCAAGATCTTTGGACAGGATACTAATGTTTCACCATCTTCAGTGACTTTCGTTGGATACTGGCTGCAATCAACCTACCAAAATAAAGAAAATCAAATCTGATAGAGCCACTATTATGTGAGAAAAATCTACGCAAAACCTTTCAGGTCTGTATCCCAGCCTGCGTATTTTCTGCAACAGGTCAAAGCCCTGATACACTTAAACTAAATCTTCTATCAGAAATAGATTTTCTGAATGGATATCCTAGTTACCTGGGAGTGGAGAGAAAAGACCCATCTTGGAGAAGGGATCCTTCAGATAGGAGAAACATATAAAACCTCAGGCTCATTCTCATCAACGAAATTCTCTTGAGTTTGGTGGAAACTATTTTTCACCAACTAGTGTTGTTGTATTTTTGGCTGTGTTTTTCCCGTTTTCTCCCGTGCTTTGATTACTTACTAGTTGAGATTTCATATAGTTATGCAATGGGATTTGAAAGGATAAAAAAGAAATGGTTATCTATCAGTTGGGAAATAGACTTTCTAAAATCCCCTATTTTTTGTTCTGAAATATATAAGCTTTTCTTCCTGAAGCACCAGACTGTTCTGCCTCATGTAGACCTAATTATAAATATACAATAAGCTAGACCCTATAAATATGTATGCTTAGTGCTCTTATAAGTTTCACTAAGTCTGTGAAAAAAACTAGCATGGGATTTCTGTGTCCCTTTTGCAAAGGGTGGAGAAACTTGTGATGTTCTGGAAAAACACTACCAGCCTACACAACACGCTGGAAAACCCAGCACCACAAGAGCTGAACACACTGGTCTCTTGGGGTTCCCCTTTCCCTGGGCACAAACCTAGCTCAGTACGAAGGGAAATGGACTCTGCAGCACTGGTCACTACAGCTTCTTCATACCCAAAGCCTGTTTCCTTCATCCTTTTGGTGTGTTTTGAGTGGAGTGACCCTTTCTTTTGGGGCAAGAAGAATATGAAATCCACGCTTACTTGCAGAAAGCCAGTGCCAGGGCTGGGATCCCCATGAGCCTGTCATATGGCACTTCTACAATCTCCTGGTCAGCGAGAGTCTGGGAAGACAGTGGCCTTCTCTCTATTAACAGCAGTAATGGATGGATTTTGACTTTCACTTACCTCGGAAGTCTCATGCTTGCAAACTCCATCATGCTTTTTAGTAATGTTGGCGTGATGTTCTCTGAAAAAAATAATAATAATAAAAATAAAAGAGCTGCTTTGGTTAGGGAGCTCTGAGAGTAACTTTTTCCACTATAGCCTAGATATTGGAACAAGGAAGCAGGCCCTACCCACTGCATGAGATGCTGTAACTGTATGAGTTAAATTTGAATATGCCCAGAGGATGCTAGCAGTCACTCTGAGCAGCAAACACAGTATTTCCTTATCCTGCAGTATTATGGATACTGCTCTGCTGGGCTCCTGGCTCTGCTCTGTGTTATCCTCTGGCTCTTTCATGATTCCAAACATGAGCACAGAGGTTGGGGAAGAAACCTCAGGCTGTCTGGGGAAATTGCAAACAGATAGTTCCAAAGAGACCTACTGAGAACCAAGACTGAAGAAAGACTAGTGTCTTAAAGGAATACTTCCAAGAGCCTTAAATATCACTGATTGTCCAGAAAGGAGGTCCTATGCATACTACTTACACATTATAGGCACAGATCTCGCATTCATTGCTGTAAGTGGAGCTGTCAGAGCCACAGACTGGTTTCACTATCCTTGGACAGGCTACAAGGACTCCATCATCTTTTGTGATTTTATGGTAGCTACTGCAGTCAATCTGGAAGAATAACAGTAATAGAACAAAATTCACTTTAATATAAAGAAATAAGGGTCCTTTGTAGGATCCTTACTCTGTCTTGGCCTTTGGCGCTCCAAAATCTGTGAGAATTCTCTCATGCTGAAGAAAAGGACAGACTAAGGACCGCTCATTGTGGCTTTATGAGGTCCTTCATGAGGTCTAACTGCAACTAGGCTGTGATATCCAGCCTTCAGCAGGGCACCATTTCCATTTTATTCCTGAATCCAGAAACTAGAAAAACAGTCAGACATAGTGCTATATGCCTCATAAATCTTTCTAAGACTTGGCTATGATCAATTTTTTAATTGTTTGAACTGTGCTCCTCTTAATTGGTGGCAGCACTCTTTACTTTTGCAGCCAACAGACATTTTTCCATGGACACCAGCAAAGTAAGATTTTACGTTCCTATTGCACTTACCTGAACAGTTCTCTGCTTACATTCTCCCTCGTGCTGTTTACCAACATGGGCCCTGTGTTCCCTAGAAGAAGATGACTTGCGTCAGGGACTGTGAAGAGCAGCCATCACCTCCAGACTGCAGGTATCAATGCCTCAGTGCTAACTTTTATGCTCCTCCATGTCTTTTGGGGCATGCAGCTGACACTCTTGTCTTTAATTGACTTCCCTGCTTCCAGTGAGACAGATCTGCTCTTTTGCAAAGAGGATCAGCCTGTTCCTCCTCCAGCCCCATTGCCATTGCTGTGACCCAGTGTGAGAGCCCATGCAGGGAGGCAAAGTAGTAAGTGCTGTGGTTGCTCAGGGCAAACCCGCTCCCGAGGGACTTTAGAAAGTGTACGAAGAAACGCCAGTATTTCAAGGACTGACGCATTTCCAGGGCTCGCTGCAAGACTCACCTGTTGTGAAGGCAGATACCGCATTCGTTGCTGTACGTGATGTCGTCCGTGCCGCACACGGGCTCGTAGTTCCTCGGGCAGGCTACCCAGGGGATGCCGTCCTTGGTGGTGCCCTTGGGGTACTGGCTGCAGTCAACCTGCGTGGGTGGCACACGGCCATCAGCCCCTCAAGTCACCCCTTCCCCATGCCAGCTCCCCATGCCACAGAAACAGCCTGAGCAGCTCCAGCTGCCAGGGACAATTAGAGAAACAATTCTGCATCCCTCCTGCTTGCCAGGAGGAACAAAGCTGCCCTACAAAATTCCTGATGAGGCTTCCTGGCAGGGCTCCGGGGCGCATGGAGCAAGGCTTGCCGCGGGGCAGGCACCAGCCTAACGAAGGCAGTGGTTAATTGGGAGCCTGGCCTTCCCTCAGAGTCCCTGAGCACCGAAGCCCAGAGGTTTCCCAAGCGCGCCACAGTCTCTGCTGAGCGTCCGGAATATCCGCGTTCATAACTGCGTGGGCAGAACCTGCAGACAAATCTAACGCACATTCTCTGCTGTTTTCATTGCTGAGTATATATATGTAAAACCTGTTCAAGGGACACAATTCTATTCATATTACTGTATAGAAAAAATATCCAAAACATGGTCTTTGATGCTATAAAGCATCACCTTAGGTTAGTTTTCCTCTTGAGGCAGTAACCTACTGCTTTTGACTGGAGGAGTAGATAGATCAGTTAGAACAGAATTGTATAATTACTAATTGCTTTCTTCATTTTATTTAATGAACTGAAAACAGTGTAAAAACGTTAAGTGTTTTATTTCCTTGTGAAATTGGCAACATCTTTCAGTCAAGCACTAGCAAATACTATTCAAACCACCAAGCTTTCATTAAATTTAATCTACTTTTTCATCAGGTGGTTACATACTATTGCTATTTTACCAGAGACCAGGAATAGAGCAGGATAAATGGAAAGACCTGTAACTCACCTCAACTCCAAAGACAGTATCTAGAGAGGAAAAAAAAAAAAAAAAGATATGCAGAGATGACATATGTGAATGACAAAATCCAGTGACTACTGATGACTGACTTATTACATTTAGGAAAATATGAAGTTTTGTATCATACCAGTAGATGGTCATAAGGTATATTAAGAAAGTTTCTTTGCACTTATGAGAGGAGACAGAATAGGAGAAACAATAAGTTAATCAATTTCTAAGATGTTAAAGGGAAATGATACAGGTAATTTAAGCTGTGCATCCTTATAGTTCAACCTTTTCTAAAAGAGTTTGTATCTGACATTGAACAGTTAGAGGACATGCATTTTTGAGACGACTGTTGACCACTGAAAGTGTCTGTCTCCAGTCACGTGCTTTCAGCTGCAGGGAACACCACAGCAACCTTACAGCTAAAGTTTGTTTTCACTGCTTTCACTGGTAACTGTTTTATTTTGCCCTTACATCCAATAGTTCTAATGCAGGGCAGGAATTTATATATGGAACTACTACTTCAATCCTTTGCTTCTCTAAGCCAAGAAGATGAGAACACTTGTCTGCATGAGGCTTGCTGAAATTGCAGTCTGATTTTCTACCACGCTTCCTCAGGCAGAATATTTCTTCACAGAATTGGACTCCCCTCCACTTTATGGGACTTGAACACTTTACTAGCAACCTGCCCCTGACTCAGCTGCAGATATGTGAGCAGTATCACAGGAATTACTCACCTAAGAAGCAGCACAGGGCAACAGCCACCTGCACGAAGCCTCCCGTTAGCTTCATGGTTGACAGCAGCGCCGTGTCCGTGCAGGCTGCGAGCGTGCCGCGTAGGAAGAGAAGTTCACAAGGAGGAGTATATAACACCCTATACTATCAAATGGTTCCACCTTATTATGTAATGCGCCAAACTTGTCATCTACTCTGAAAGCCAGAATATATTTACCCAGATCTGGATTTCTGGCTAATGATTGACACAGGAGTAAATGCCAGGAAGGGGCCTTCTGTGTAGCCAGATGCTTGAGGGGAAGCAGACACAGGATCAGGTCTCCTTCCTCCTGGCTCTGCCTGCCCTGCCCCATGACCACACTCCTCCTCACCTGGCCAGGGCATGTCCGAGGCTTATATTTATCCTGGGCTCACTAAATACAATGAGATCTTTCTCCTCCTCTGTAGTTCTCCATTGAGCTCCCAGCTGATAGCCGAAAACCTCATTATTAAACCTCGCAGCATGAATTTTGACCTTTTCACCGCTGTATTTCATCCTGGTTTGAGTTCAGACAATTTGAGTCCAGAAGGTCACCCAGTTCTCTGCTGGAGAAATCCTGCTCTTCTTCCATTTTAAACACTCAGCAGTGGTCTGTTCTGTGTGTCAACTTTTTCTCTACTGAAGAAAGTAGCAAAAATATTAAGTTTGATCCCCAAAATCATCCCTTTGGCTGTTCACTGATAACTTCTCTCTAGATTCACGGTACCCCCTGTTCCTACACTATCATCTCTCCTGTAGCCAGTTCCTCATGTGCCTCTCCAAGCCTGACTGACAGCATCCCACAGGGCAGCAGGTCAAAAGCTTTGAAGTTCAGGTACACTAGATCTACTGTATTCCTTTTATCTAGGAAGCCAGCCAACTTTGTAAAGATCGGTATCAGCCCATGCATGATTTCCTTTGGAAAATTCACAGTGCACATTATCCCTTTGCACTTTATGTATTTATTTTCCTTCAAATTCCCCCCGAAGGCTTGCCCAGTATTAAAGTGACAGAGCTGGGATTGGTCCTGAACACCGTTGCTCCTTTTGTAAACAGAGCTGTGCCAGCTGGTAGTCTCTAGTCACCTTGGACTGCATGTATACCCAGGAGATACCTATGAAATAGTGTAACTACTGGACCTGTAGCTTTGTGTGCTACTTCTTTCAGGGGCTCCACAATGGAGAGCATCTACTTTTCCCACCTTGAGTAAATTAAGGAGAGTTTTGCTTCCAGCTTTATATGTGGTAATTGTATTTCCTTAATCTTGTTCTCATAAGTCAGTTTGCCAATCCCAGCATAGAGCACCCATCTCTCCAAATTTGAAACTAGAGATTGATTGCTCTTTGTTCCTACCTTGTCTTTGCAGAACAGAGGTGACTACTCTTATCTTTACATTCTCACAGGTGATCGCTGCTGCATATATGATTTTCCTCTGCAAAGTCTTGTTCATCTTCATTTTTGGCAATTCTCTGTACTAGTTTCCAATCCAAATGTCTGAACTGGGATCCTATATTCTTCAGTCCAGATTTTCATTAACTTTCTCGCTTAAACCCTCAAATTCTGAACTTGGTAATCAAAATCCTCATTTTCAGATCTGTTTTTGACATAATTTAAACAGAGCAAACTCAGGTTGAATCATCCCAGTTTTGCTTTCAGAGGACATCTCCAATATCCTTCACACACCAAATGGAAATCTAAAATAACACTGTGGAGGGGGGAGGATTATTTAATGAAAAACTCTATTTGCTCTCACATTCAGAGGTAACTGAGACCTGATAATATTAGTGGTTTCCAGTGCGCACCTGCAAAGTTAAAGTCTCCCCAAATGCACACACGGCTGCATCAATCTCCAGGAGCATTACGGAGCTATCCATGTCTCTTGTTTTAATTCCTTCTTCCTAATATTCAGTTCTGCTTTCTCCTGCCCTGTCCCTTATCTCAGCTCCACCAAGCATCAAAGACGCCAGACCTTTGGACCAATGCAGGTCTCACCTATAGTGACCCCTGTTTATCCCAATTACAAAATCTGTCTCTCAGAACTTTATTCCAGACAAGACCATCATCAATTAGCACATTCTGGCAGAAGAAAATGTATCTTGACAATTTTATTGCTATATTCTATAAAACCTGTCATGGTCAAATAAATTTCTGCCAACATCCACAAAGATGACACCTAAACCTTATCAGCAAGGAGATATTATTTGCAAACCAAATTTGCAGTTGAAATAGATTGAGTCAGCATGTTCTGTCAAGATCACAGCAATCTTCTTCCCAGCTAAGTTATTCAGATTCAGGGAATGTTTGCAATAGGAAACAGTTCAAAGGGAAAAAACAGCAAACATCCCGCCAGGGATTTAGTGTAGGAACAAAGATCTAGAAATCCTCACTGCAGCAGCTATAGCATGTGTCCCTGTCCCCAGCGGTGGCCAGGGCCTGTAGTGTCAGGCTTTGCCTTCTGCCCAAGGAAGCCCCAAAATGCAGCTCCTGAAGGGAGCTGGTACTTGGCCAACAGGGTTAGCAGAACATTTTCTAACACTCCATTTGTTTGAGAGGACAAAGCTTCTCAGAGCCTCCAGATTATAGCAAAAGACAAAAACCAAGCTAGATACATACGCAATAAAGCACACAAATAAGTTAATTAAAGCAGTCCAAGAAAGTGCCCCTTTTGAGGACAGGCACCAATGAAATCCAGACATTTCTTCTTTGTAAGTACAATAGGTGCAATGGTGCTGCTCTTTTCTCCATTTCTTTCTTTTCCTACAATTGTGAATTAGAAGACATTTGTGACAAGTTTGGAGTGCCTACATTCTCTAAGGCACAAAAATGCTTACCCCTCCCACCCTCCATCCCCAGGATGTTCAGCAGTTAAGAATTGCAAACTTTCATCTGGATTTGCAGCTTGCAACTAGTTGTATTCACATGTGATAATCTGTGTTTAGCTATGAGCAGAGGGGCTCATGCCTTCCTGGAGGTGAAAGCTCTGAAGACTTCTTTCAGCTCCCTGTCTCATCCAGTGATTGATTTTATGGGAGGGCTGGTTAACAGGAGACCTCATGTAGTTGGTGGTGGAGCAGGGGAAATCCCAAGGAAATAGCCTAAACAAGGGCTCCTTGTAGCAGAGGAGCCCTTGCAGGAAAAGGCAAACAGGCAAATGGTTATCAAGAAAGAGCCCTTTAAAAAAAAAAAAAAAAAAAAGCCCATCCCCCACTTCCCAGAGCAGAATTTGTGCTAATTGAGGGAAATAAGGCTGGTTATTGACTTGCAACTGTTGCCTGGAAGGGCTGAGAACAGTTTGAAAGGAGTCATTGCGCAAATGTTGTGGTGGTGCTTGTAAAAAGGCCATGTCACACAGCATCAGGCTTTCCACATCACCTTTCGGCCACTTTCTGGCACTGGCTGCAGGACTTATACCTGGGACACCTCCGAAACCTGCCACGCACGAGGCTTTCCCACCAGGATGGGCTGCAAGAGAAATAGGAGGATAATGTGCACAGCGTTGAGGCTGCAAAAGCACAGGCTGCGGGGGATTGAGAAACACTGGTTAAGTACAAGGTCAGCTAAGGCATCAGCCAGAGTCAACAGCCCTCAGAAAACACCACAGGAGACAAATCCCCAGCCGAGAACAGCACAGCTCACAACCTGACTGTGTTTGGGACGACTCCAAGAAAGGGTGAGAAGCAGGAGACCAGGTAGAGGCCTGAGGACTGCCAGTTCTGCAAAGCCTTAAAAAAATACAATGAATCACGAGGGCTCTCTGAATCCTGGCAAAAAAGTCATCCTTTATAAAGAACCCTTTACAGCAAACTTAAGGTTTCCTAGGGTGCTGATAGCTGTAGGTTTGTAGAGGACTGTTTTGACCTCATTGCAGTGCTTAAGAACAACACATAGGCTACCCAAGAGAAAGCATAAAGGAAACGAATGAATTTCCAACACCTCTTGAGCCTTTGCCTCCTGCTCCCCAGGAGCCACATGGAAGCAGCACATGGCCTCCCTGGCACAGGCACTTGCTAGAGCTCTGCCACAGACAGCCTGGGGAGTCCTGGATGCTAGCTGCAAAATAATATGGAAAGAAAGACAGGGATGACTGCAGAAAGCATGCGGGAATTAGCACTGCTGCCCCTGGGAGGTTTGCTGGCTCCACAACAGGTAGTTTTGCCCAGTCACTGCTATATGCCATCTTGGCAGACAAAACATTCCAATTAATAACCTCTTATCAATTTTACCAGGAGAAATTCAGAAGGTGCCCAAATAGTAATGGAAGAGCCTAGTAAAAGCAACCTGCTGATGAGGAAGGTGCCTAACAGCACCATTAATATAGGTTTTGCTGGTGATTGTTCCAAAGTTAAATACTTGAAAGTGCTATTATAATTTGTGGAAAATTAAGTGCTCTGATTTTCCTTTCCAATAATTTATTCTAAACCTCAAATTATGCACTGCTTTTATAAAAATCTGGTACACGTCACTGCACGTGATTTTAGCTGAAATCAGTGAGCAGATGTCATCAGTGAACGCTTTCACTGATACTCATCCTTCTCAAGACTGTGTAAATACAGTCAGGAACTTACCTGCTCCACCAACTTGAAGGCAGACAGCCCCAACAAAAACTAAGTAGGAGGAAACCAGTGACTTTCATCTTCCTTGAATGTATATGGCAAGTAGGTTTTTGGTTGATATAGAAATAGGCAATGACCATTTCTAACCTATGTTTGATAACACTAAAAACCAACATGCAAAATATTAACTACTATTTGTTTTAGTGTTCACTGACAGTAGAGTTATAACCTGATAAATATGATGCATGTGGAAATAATTATCAGTGTTTACATTCTGTTCTCAACAGTTACACTAGAAGAAAAAGTATCTTGAAAGCTTAATTGAAGAACTACTAAACTCTGGAGAGAAGCAAATGAAACAGCTATAAGTAAAATCCTGCCAAAATCTGGAGGAGTATCACTCAATCCTTATCTGTAGCAGAGAATATTTACAGAGCAGGTCACAGCTACAACACTCGAACACTGTGTTCACTCAAGGTCTTCTAGAAAAGTCCTACAATTAGGTTTATATAAATAAGAAATGTATTTGCTTTAAGTAACAACTGTAAAAAAGAACAGGAAATGCGTGCACATTGCCAAACTTTGTTACCCAGCACCACAGATCCCCGCTGTTTTCAGGTGGGCTGCACTGATAGGTCCCCACATATTTAGAACAGCATTTTACTGAAAGACCCAACTTCACCTTGAAATGGCTTCAAAGTACAAATCAATTAAATCTACTTGTAAATCAGTTACACTTCAAAACATCACTTCTCCATAAATATCTTAAACTGTTCAACAGTCACTTTCTTACTGAACCTGTGGAGCTTCTCTCACTCATCCACACCCATCCAGCACCAGGATCTTCGTGTTCATCCCTGCTGCCCATCAATGCTCAGAAGAGCTCACCCATCCCAAGTGCTGACTACATCTCTCCAGGGCCCCTCAGATGGGATCCCTCTTCCTCCCTTGACAGCTCTGCTGTCACCCTCCGGACTGTGGAAAGTGAGCATTGCCCACAGCACTTCCCAGGTAGCCTGCTACAGCCTGTTGGGACGCACCGGCAGGGTTGCTCACAGAGGTGTCAAATGCAAAGCTGCTTATTCACTTTGCAGTTCAGGACCTGCCCAGGACACGAGCTCTTTGCAGCCCAAAGTGCAGCAGGAGATGCTACTCTACAGGCCATCGAGGGCAGCTGATGGACTTTCTGCACACCAGCCTCTGCCAGCTCCAGGCATCCAGTCCAACCTGCCAACACCAGCAGGGCCAGGCAAGGGCAGGGATGCCCATGGCCAACACTGCCCCAAAGGTGCCAGTGTCTGTGTCCTTAGAGGGCTAGCAGTACTGCTGGCTCTATGTACAGGAGATCAAATTCTCTCCTCAAAGTTCCACGAAAACCACCCCAAATGAGGCACCACTACAGTTTCAGTGCCACAGGGCCTGCGGTACCACCCCACATGACCTCTCAAATATTTGCTTTCCATAACCCCTCAGAGCAAATCAGTCTAAATTTCCTGGCACTCAGAGGAGCTGGCTCAAAGACACTTACCGTAACAGTTAAATGGCAACCAGAATACATTTGGTGCTTTAAAGCAGATTTTCATCTGTGAGTTTCCCAACATAAATCAATTAAATCTCAAAACAAGCCTCTGAGGTAGGTAAGTATCATTTAATGTCTATTTTACAGGCAAAGAGAGAAGAGCTGAAGGGAGGTGAAGTGATTTACCCAAGACTCCACAAAGAGTCAGAGAAAACCTGACTCCCAGGCCTTCACCATAAACCCCTAGACCACACTTTTCCTCTTCAGGCTTGACATCTCCACTGCCCATTTAGGTAGCTGATGGACCCAATAGGCCTCTGTGTTTACTAAATGATGCTTGGTTTGAAATTAGAGCAAGGAGCTGCAGGTAACCCAGGGATGTTTAGTGAAGAATAGTGACAGGGTTCTGCTGAGTTATCTTTATTGTAGAAGCATGCTAAGGACACAGCAATGTGGCAAAGAGCCTGAGCAGAGCTGAGCCCAGGCAGGCACATGGGAACTAGACCTGGAGGAAGAGCAATGGGATCCCCCAAGCCCCTCTCCCTCCACCTGAGCAAGGATGGGGCTGTCCTTCATGCAGGGGCCAGGGGGAATGAAGGCAGCTTTGACAACACCGAGGATGTGTCCATTCCCTTGATGCTTAACATCAGTTCTTCTGGTACTTGCCCTAGAGGGAGAGAAAGAGGGAGGAAGATGAAGAGCTTATCCCTATAGACCTGAAGTCCTACAGTTAGTTCCCTGCTAGGACCCAGTGCTCTGCACCAAAGCAAAGAGCACACGGTGGAGCCCTTTGCCCCAGCCCCACAGGCTGCCTGGGGGAGGTTTGACAATCAAACCTTGTGAAATGCTGTCTCCAGGGCAGGCTGGCCCAGAGGGAATAAATCACAGCGCTGCTCTCCTTACCTTTGGTCACAGCTGATTCCTGATACTTGTTGGCAGTAGGAACTCCATTACTGCTGGAAAGAGAGCAGAAAATAAGCACATTCCCCAGCATGACCACTGCTGTATTGCATGGGCAGAGCATTCGTGTTTGTGACAGCCCTGCCGTCCCACCAGCTCCCGCTCAGCCTCCGCATGGAGCAGAGGCTGCGGAATGTGGCACCGGGGCAGGTAGACTGGGAAGCTGCCAGTCTGGGAACGCACAACAATTTCAGCCTGAAACTAGGTGCTTTTCACACCTAATATTTATCTGGGAAAGGTGCTTCTATTTTTATTTTCCTTCTTCTGCCTTCTTAGTGACAAACTGACAAAACAACCATCTTTGTAAGAAAACTGGGACATGTCCGTTGAAAACCTGGGAGTTGTCTATTTCTTTGAAAAACAGGTTTAAAAGAAGGAGAAATTGGATAGACACCCCCCTACTTTTTTTTTTTTTTTTTTTTTTTTTTTTTTTTTTTTGTCTGATCTGTTGGCTAAAACAGGCAGAATGATGCATATCACAGGAGAGATTTGTGGAAAAGGCTTCAAACAAGAAAAGGAACCATAAGATGCGTCATTAAAAGCAAAAGGCACTGGAAAGACCCGCAATTAAATCAGTCTCAGTCCCTAAAACATTCAAAGCATTGTGGGATCTAGCAGCAAGCAAGGTTGTCAAATAAACCAAACAAAAGCAACAACAAAATCCCCAGGTTTGGAGCTGCACTCTCAGAGCAAGAGCGGGACAGAGCATGCGCCAGGCAGGATCAAAGGAATCTGGTTTGGGCACAGTCCCCACATGAGAGGCGGTGAGCCTGGCGCCTGGCCAGCTGCAGGCACAGGGCAAGGTGCTCCACAAGGCTTTCTACTACAACAACACACACTGCCCAGCTACACCCTTTCATGTCAAATCCCTCTCAACCCTCCCATCTCTCCCATCCCTCCCTATGGGAATCCTTTCCTCATGATAACCTGGCCCCTGACCAGGAGAGCTGCCAGAAACACCTGTAAATCCAGTGGGAACTTTGTTGCCAGAAGTGGATGCAGACACTGACCTACATAGTAGTAGAAATGAGGCATGCTGGACATAGATTTCATCATCTGAACCAGCACCTCCAAGGCTAATTTTAAAATATGATCCAAAAATGTCCTTCAAGTGTGAAGGATATTCTTGGGGCTTTCTCATTTTCATTCTGCACATCACTGCTGTCTAAAATCATTTCAGACACCAAAGGCCCTGCTGGAGCTGGTGTCCTCCACATTTTAATAGCAAATACCTAACGTCTAGCTTGTGAATAGAAGGAAGGAAGGAAGGATTCATTACGCTGCAGGTTACCATTAATTTCAGTGCCTGAAAATAACATTGTCCAGTGCATGAGGAGTAGATTTTCTCTCATTTATAGGCTTCCAATTCAGAAATGAGAAAAGCCTTTGATGGACTCCACAGGTTTGCCAAGGAAATGGACTTCCATAAATGTCTGATTTGATTCTTCAGGTGATGTAATATACATAGAATAAGAGAATCATCATTGTATTTTTCCCCTTCTCTTTTTTTGTCTGCATGGCAAGAGCTTATCACTTGTCCTTTGAATTGATTTCACTCTCCTTGAGATACTTTTAACTTGGCTATTAATTATGAAGCTTGTTTGCTTTTCAGTAAATGGCATATTCCTCTAGATGCACAGATTTGAGAGCTAACACATCTTGGTAGAGAATCCCAATCCAAACACATCCAAGAGATACAGACGGGGAGAGCCTGGCTACACAGCAAAGCACTGGACACTGCAGAGCTGCCACTGGTGTAGATGCAAAGACCCAACTGAGAAATGCCCAGCTCCTCTCCTATGCAGGATCACACAAGACAAAGCACAAGATGCTTCCTAAAAGCATGCATGAAATGCAAATGAATAATTATCATTTCCCACAGCACGGTGGTGAAGAGTGTTAATCACCCTACAAGTTTGGTTAACCTGCTAGTTAACCCAGCTACAGGATCAAGACTTGACTCCCAACTATTGCCAAAGGAGCATTGTCAGTAGTAGCTGGCAGGGATGTCTTCTCACTATTTACTGTCCCCTTCTCCATTCCCGTGATGTTTTGGGAAGGGACAACCTTTCTGCCTCAAGTTCATGCAAGGCTGCCACGTCAACCCCACAAGCCCACATGATGCCAACTGGGAGTTTTCTCCAGAGAAAGCTCCACTTTTCCCCAAACGTTCCCAGCCCAGGAATAACATGCTCCTTACCACTTCTGCAGCAGGCTTTCGGCATTCACCTTGGTAGCTTACTGTGATGTAGTTTGTAGCTCTCCTGCAAAGGAAGAACAAGACATTGCCTGTTATTCTCTTGCAATGCTACAGCACTCTGCCATCAGCAGAACCATCCTCTGTGGACTCCTTAGTACTTTGATGCTGCTTCCAAGAGGATAGAATTTATTACTTCCAAAATAATTTTATGACAGGGCAGAAGGGGGATATGGGACTCTGGAAACTTGTGCATCTTAATTAGCTGTCATCAGAATAATCTTAAGCATTTTGATCTATGTTTGCTTAACAGCAAGGCACGAAGGACACACTTGATAGTGAGTCATGATATATCAAAACAAACACTGCGCTGCAAAAGACACTCGGGAATGGTGGATGGCCCTGTATTACTGAAATCTCTCCGCCTACTCACATGGCAGCTGAACACAAGTCACATTCATTTTTGTATGTTTTCCCATCAGTGCCACAGACGGGTTGTGAGGATTTGCTGCAGAAAATCCTTCCACCCTTTACCCCATGCAGAATTCGATCACAGTCCAGCTGAAGAGAAAAAGAAATCACATTTGGTGTGGGTTCTTTTTCAAGACCCTTTTTTTTTTTTTTTTAAATAGACAACTTAGCAGCACTTAAAATTCAAATGTCACCCTGAGACCCCTCAGCAGCACAGCCATCATTCCTGCAACAGAGCCAGGGTTGTAAGGGGAGGTAAAGCCCCTTGATGGGCTGAGCATCCACAGACCTTGCCCAATCTGCCTTGACACCTTTGGTCAGGGGAGGTTTATTTCTCTCTCTGGATCCACAAGACGACAAAAGCTTCTACTTGCCACTAGTCCTTCTTTATCAGGGCCCTGCTGTGCTTTATCTGCAAGATAGCAGACACCCACCAGCAAGAATTAAAGGAAATCCTCCAAAGCAGACTCCAGCCGCCCGAGGGCGGTGCGACACGCAGCACAACTCCTGTCACTCACTGAATTAAGAGATGCAAACAATATATTAAGAGCTATGACTAATTATTTCTTCTCCAACCATAAGAAAAGGAGTATTTATGTGTAGTCTCCTGCAAACGACACATGGCACAATGAGGGCAGGAGGGAAAAAAAATGACAACAGAAAGTGGCCTTTTCGTCCCTCCAGGAATCCCCAAGGGCCTCCCACACTTAGGTCTGCACCCCATAGATGGACAAGCTCAAATGCCAAAGAGCAGAGGCTGCCACAGAAACACCTTCCTCAGCCTCACTGCCCTCAGCGTGCAAAAATGCCAAGACCAAGGGGTGACTGATGGGCTCCCATCTCCTATAGGGGCCATAAAAGATGTTGTGACAGCTACAAGTGCTGCAAACAGATGGAGCAGCAGCGAGACTGCCTCAGCTCCATCCTATCTGCAGACTCCTGTTTAGCACCAAGCAACCTCTTGCCACCACAGGGCAAGCTGGCCACCAGCAGGCTGCTGTGACAGTGCCAGCCAAGTCAACACCATTTGCTAATTTCCTTAATGTGCTGTTTCCTCCCTCACCCACACAATTAGCTGTGACATTAAGGCAAGCAGTGCTGACCCTTACAATTCCCCCCCAGATCCCTTCCCGCACACCAGGCCATGCTGCCCATGTTGGGATGGAGCCCAGGACAGCAGAGACCCAGGCAGTGGGATGCTCCTATGGTGCCACTGTGGGGCTTCCCGCACGACAGCGGCCAGTAGCCCAAGAGGACTGGGCTCGCATGCTGAATCACCCCGCATTAGCCCAGCTAATCGGCGTCCGCTCCCCCGATACGGCCAGGAAATAGCACTAAGCACTCGAGCAGCCTGTCCTTATTACAGCCTAATGCCTCCTCTGGAATGCATTAAAATTGCTGCACTGGAACCACCTCCTTGGGTGTTTTTTTTTTCCCCCACTCTGATATCCCATTTCAAGAGTGGTCAATGACACAGGTTTCTCAGAGAGTTAATACGATTTTCAGTAAAGCTCTCCCCAAGCCCCATGGAAACATTTCCTATCCCTTCCAAAATGTTTTTTAAATTACTGAATGAAAAAGCTGGAGGAACTATAAATGGCTTTTTTCCTCCTCCTAAATCATGCTAGCTTTTGGCAACCCTCTGTAGCAGCAAGTTCCACAGCTCAGTCACACATTATGGTAAATTATTTTCTCTTATCAGTTTTACATTTTCCACTGTTTGACCTTATTGAAACTTTTGCATTTTCCTTTTGTGGGGATAAGGAAGGTAGACACCTCGATCCCCCAGTTCTTCCATAGACAGCCATCATCTCACACTCGGTGCATTGCCCTTAGCACCTGAGGCCCTTTGGTCACCCCTTTACCCTGCTCTGGACCACAGCCCTCAACTCCACAACCTCGACATCCATGGTGAATGCCACTCATGTTCCTTTGCATATCACTGGGGCAGGAGTCCAGCCCAAAGACAGCACCCACCACAGCCAATGCACCAAGAACCAACTGCAACCAAACCAGCTGAGGGGGCTCCCAAATCCAAGCGGTTTTAGGGCCCTGGCACTGTCCCAGAGGCTGGTAACTTACTGGCTGGTAGGTGTCCGTGTCTCGGCTCTGTCCTTTGCGCCCAAGTCCAGGGTCACAGTTCCCACCATGCTGAGCTTGGTCTCTTTGCAGGCTGGCAGGGAGAGGGAGAGGGAGCTCAGTGCAGGTCCCTGTGGGCATGGGAGGAGAACACAGCCCCCCCAGGGCCATGGGTCTCCTGTGAGCCCCTGCTCTGGGGGAACTGCACGCTTTGACAGTGGGAAAAGTAAAAGGGAGAGGCCCAAAGTAGTCCCATGCAGAGCACATGACTGCCTCAGGGCAAAGCAACATTTCTTTTATGTACAATACCATTTGTTTGCAGCTTTTTTTAAGCAGAGTTTGTCTTTCCATGGGCCAAGGCTCATCACAGAGGCTGTCCTATATCCAGGAGACTAGTTTCTACAGGGATCAGGGACACAGCAGAGACTCTGCAGGCCTCCCCACCCTGCTCCACCTGCCTGGCATCACTGCAGGTGCAAAGGGGCTGCACCAACTACGCTTAAGCAAGTGGTGGCAGCTGTGCCTGACTATGCCAGGCCTCCATCAGACTCAAAAGAAAAAAAAAAAAAAAAGGCAAGAGCCCCGCATGGATCAGAGAACTCTGAAAAACAGCAGTCCCCTGGTAAGGCTGAGGGACACAGACTGCACCAGGCACTCTGCATATGGGTATGGGGAGGGTGTGCAAGGACAGGACACAGCTGTGACAAGCCACAGGGCAGAGTCTGTTGGGCAGAGGCATCACAAAAGGGACTTTGAACAGAAATCATCCAGTGTTTTCTGCAGAGGTAAAGGACAGACATTTTTGAATAGGATGGTCACACCAGAAGTGTGCTGGCTCTTAGTGTCTCATGTGATGAGAAAGAGCCTTGGGGGACACCAGCTGGACTGGGGACAGTGCCAGCATACAGGGACACCCCTCCTGGCGCCTGTGCACATTCAGCCCTGCCTAAAGCTGTGCCCTGGGCTGTGCAGCCCCACATCTGCTAGGAGAAACTGCCCCGGTGTCAGCACCAGCAAGGTGGCACCTTTGCCAACGACAACCTGGCTCCATGTGCCCTTCCCAGCAGACAGCAGCAACCCTATCCCTAGGGCCAAAGGGGAAAAATGCTATATTAAACACCCTGCAGCATTCACTTCTCCACCCCAGATGGCTTCTGTGCTATGGAGCTCATTCCACTAAGCCAACTCCCAGCTATTTCTGGAGAAAACAAGCCATGTGTGGAAGGCAGTGCAAGAGGGAGCAAGGGCCAATGCCACAGGCCAGGGGCTGGGCCGTCCTTGGCTCCTGCCCTACTCACCCTGTGCTTGCAGAGGACGGATGCTGCTCACTCGCTGCCTGCTGTGACCCTGAGCCACTGCAGCTCTTCTGGAAGAGGGGCAGGAGGAACATGTTAACAGAGCATGGAAGAAACTCTGACACTACCAAAGAACAGGCAAAGCCAAAGCAATTCCCATCCTTTCATACTCCTTCTCCCAAATGCAAGGATACGAGCTGTTCCCAGAGAAGCACAGCTGATGCTTGTTTCAAGTAGGTTTTAATACCCACTGAGGTTTAATTTTTGAGGGCAGGCAGGACTGCAGGCAACCATATGCACCCTTTATCTTGGGTACAGCATCTCATCTCTGAGAAACGAAGTGAGCTTATTCTGCCAGATCCAAACATGCCAAATTTGTACAGGCGCACACACAAATACAGCCTGCAGTTGAACTCAGCTTTATAACATGACCACCTTCTCTCTCACTGCTAACTGCACCAGTCTTATACCAGGCTGACCACACGTGGTCCCTGCCATCAGTATCACACAGAAGCTCTTGTCAGCCCTTCCTCTGAGCTCAGGTAAGGCCTCCACAGCCAAGGCAAACAAACTTGGTCTCACCTCAGTTTTCCTCTCTGACGTGAGCTCACGGTTACGCTGGGCATTTCCCCCAGACTGGCCTCCTCTTTGGGCTTCCTTTTTGCTGCAAGGAGAGGAGAAAAACAAAGTGCTATGGCCACACAAGCAGTGCCCAGACACAAGGCTGCCCTGGAGCCCAGCACCATGCACCAGCCTCCCTTCTGCAGTCCATGCTCCTGGTGGCTCTGCTCCTAATTCCCACCCCTAAGCCTTCTCCCTTCTCCTCACCATTCCCACTGTATGCTACATCCTGGATCCGGGCTTCATATCAGGGCTGCTTCTGCAGATGCACTAGGGGAGTAGAGAGAGCGCATCTGGAAGGCAAAGTACAGGCATGGGAAACTCCTCAGAGCTGCCGCAGCAGAGACTCCCCTTGGGAAGGGGTTGCTAGCTATCAGCCCTGCTTTTCCTCTACTCCACACTGCTTCTCACCTGCCCCTGGGCCTCTTGCACCAAAGGGGAAGCGGGAAGAGGGGCAATGACCAGAGTCCTACTGCAGGAGCATCTCCTTGTGGGAGATCAGAACACAGGACTCCCCCAGGCATCATCCAGCTGCAGCTCCACAGGCAGAAGCTGTGGTTTTGCAGCACAGGGGTCTTTTCTGTTGCTGTTCAGAGGAAATTGTACTCACAGTTTGTCAGCGCACATGAGACATTTGTTGATGTGCTGCTTGCCCGAAGAATCCCGAACGGGGTCATTCTCCCTCGTGCAGGACAGCCTTCCACGGGCCTCGAACTGGGAGCGATACTCACTGCAGTCGTCCTGCAGAAGGGAGGGCAGCGTTTAGGGCAACCTGTCTTCCTTGCCTTAGTGATCTGAGTCCTAGGAACTTGGGGTTTCCTGCCAGGAAAGCATGGAACCATCACAAGTGCATCACACAGGAGAGTCAGGGTGTGAATAGCAGAAGAGGGTGTGCAGCACCAGCCACTTAGTATTTAAAGAGGAGTGAGTCAGAAAAATTATGGGTCCCTCTGCCGAGGCTGCACGTGTTGGGAGTTTTCTAGGATGGTCCAACTAATTATTATGCTCCATGCTGGGTTATCCAAAGCACGCTAGTGATGCAGTTGATAAGGTGGTGGATCCCTCCTACTTCTCCCAGCATCCTTAATACACAAGTTACAGCCTTCTCCCAGGTCACAGCTCTAAGTAGTTTAATTTACAAAGGAAGGAATACCCCCCAAAATCTATCAGTTTGGTATGCATGGATCAAAGCAGCAATAGATAAAACAGAAGCACAGTGCAAACATACTTAAAAGTCCACCAAGAGCAGGAAGTTCTTTGGAGAGCAGATGACTAATTTGTTCCCTACTCAAAATCACCATACAGAAACTATGTTAATTTTCCTCATTTTGTAATATGGATGTAAACATTCAATCATTCTAATTTCAGCTATTTCAGATACTGCAATAGCTGATTTCAGTAGCAGATATGGAAGTAACTGGATGTCAGTTGCCCTTTATTTTTACTATAGGTTTAAGATTTGCTATTTTGTGTCTATTTTCTCCATTAGAAGGTTTTGGTTAAGTTGCATTAAGGATCTCAGAAGATCAGTGGTCTCATCTTTTCCTTGTCTTAAAAGTCTTCAACACCTGGTTCTTTCTGGCCAAGGGAAAATTTCCTTGCAGTACATTCCTGCATCTTGTCCCTGGTCACCTCAGGGCTGACCTCAGGGTCCTCAGCTTTGCTGCTGAACAGACATTGCCAAGCACCATACAAGCTTCAAGAGCCCAAAAGCTCCTGTTGTCCTGCTCCCAAGCTAGTCACAGAGAGCACAAGGCCTGAGGGACACAGTGCGGGACAAGACACCCCAGACAGATCCTCGCCCTGCTCTGGCTGCCCCATAGCAATGCTCCCATCGAAAACACATCCACCTCCACTTCGGAGTGGCTGCTAAGAAACCCACTGCTTCACGCTCATTTGTATTCACTTGTCCTTGCACCGTTTAAAGGGCATCTTCCCTTCCTGGTAATCTCCAGGGAAGCCCTCCTGGCCCTGCCAGCCTCTCCCCTTGCACTAGCCCGGCTAACTACTCCGAGCCTCCAACTGAAGACAGATTTGTCTTTCCCTGATCATCCTCACAGCCTTTTTCAAACCACCTCCCTTTGACTTAGGGTTTCTGGAGCTTTGTTAACTTCCTGACCTCTGTTGTAAAAACCTCCCTGAGCACATCAGAGACTTGCGTTTGCCTTTTTCACAGGCCTCTCACCACTGACCTGCTAATAAATGTGGGGCTTTCTTATCCTTTGTCACTTCTAAGTGACAAGCCCGGGATTCTTGTTAATCACCAACTGTGTGATCTTGCACTCTGTTATTACATTTTATCTCATTTCTATTACTCCAGGCCTCAGCACTATCCAATTAGTCCTGTGTGATCTGCTGATCCTCCTCTGCCAATTCTGCTGCCCAGCTTTGCCATCAAGCTTCCCTCACTCTTCCATTTTTCTTTGTGCAAAGGACATTAGGAATAATAATAATAATAATAATAAAAAGACTGGCATGAGGACCGAGGCTTAAGGTGACTCTACCAGTCCCCCGCATAAAATGCACCAAAAAGACAGAAAGGGACCTTTTCCTTACACAACTGCTCTTGCCAAAGATAAGTGTCCCGTAATGTAGTGGCTGCAGCCTGGACCAATGACACATAGCAGACAGCTACATGGTGCAAGCAAGGTGCAGCCAAAATGCCAGAGGCCCCTGGGCACAGTGCAGGCTGCACTCTCTGCCAGGATAGAAAGGTCTTTTGAGCTTCTCAGAGCTGGAAAGTGAAGCTTTCCTCCCAATTTTTCTTTTGAACACAGGCAGCATCCCTAGTAAGTCTGGCTTCCGCGCTTTTGCATCTGATTTCGGGGTAGTGCAGCATTTAGTTTCATTCTCTGATTAGATTTGTCACTGTCTGTCACTTGACCTGTTGGTCAGAAGGGCAGATGCAGCATCCAGCAAAACCTATCCAAATTCCAGCTAGTAATGTCTGGAGCTCCCAGGACCAGCATAGGGCTTCTTGTTCACCAGCCCTGGAGGGCTATGAACCAGCTCTGCTGCTTGGAGGTGAATTTGATTGCTGAAAATGAAAGACATGCAATTTGTTCTCTTGGGGCTTCAGGAGCATGAACAGGAAACAAGGAGAGAAAGGAAAGTGGATCTCAAAATGAAATCAGTACAAAGCAACTGAGTAGAATAATGTTGCCCCTTCTCTATCTCAGGTGAAAATCCAATAAAGTTGTATATCGACCTGCCTAATACTTTAATCTCACCTTATTTTTTCCTTGTCTGTTTTTAGATGACTTCTGCTCATTCTCCTTTTTGCTGGAAGAGAAACAAGATGAAAAAGTGAATAAAATATTGCTCCCAGGGAACAAGAGGCTTGCTCTGCCGACCGCAACATGAGGGGTAAGCAATTCTGCTATGCCTGGTGTCAGCAGCCAGATTGTCCAACAGCAGCTTTGTCAATCCAACAGAAAGGGTATTTTTCTCTACTCACAACTTCTCTGCACACATGATGCACTTATTGCTGTGCTGCTTCCCAGAAGAATCCCGGACAGGGTCATTTTCTCTTGTGCAGGAAAGCTTCCCGTTCTTGAATAGATCCCGAAATTCTCGACATTCATCCTGTGGAAGGGCCAAATACAAGATTTGACATAGATATGTTTGAGGGAGGATATAAATCACACTAATCCACAAAGGATTAGCCATCTACTGCATTACATGTTGAAAACAGTTTTTGTTTCCCTGAGGCATAAGTGAGTGGCAAAACAGCAGTTGTTTGTTTGATGGTGTCTTTTAAACTATTGTGCACAACATACAAACTTAATGACCTATTTGCTAATAGAACATATTTCTTCTTTGCATGCAGGATAAGATTATTCTCAATCAATACACATATGCAAGACCCTGCCTGAAGGACTTGGTTTTGTTCCAAGTACAAAAGCAAAAAAAATCTTAGTTATTTCTGAATTAGGGAAAAATTAGTTCTCATCTTTAGTGAGTATTAAGATTGTTAAAAAGCTGGCCCCAATAAAGAGAAAGCAGTAGACATTAAAAAGAAATCCTTCCATACCTTGCATTTCCAAATGTGCTAGAGTAAAAAGGGGAACATTTTTATCTTCCATATAACATGACTCTATAAATTAAGCAAAATGCTCTTTTCTGCGGGAGACTTTCACAGCAACATTTGCTCAAGCTTCTCTTATCTTTGCTTGTTAATATCATTCAGGATGTTACCTGTGCTACAAATGTGCTGACACGTGTTCTGTGCAAATGCTTTCAGGATCCTTTTCTGGCCCCCTTTCTAAGGTTATCTGCCACTTGATCTCTAATGCATTCCCCCCAGCACACATACACAGGGAAGAGATTTTTATGCCAGATTCCAGTTTTGCAGATGGAGTTCCCCAGATGGGGAAGCCAGGCCCAGAGAATTGCTAGCGAAAAGCCAGGTCAAACCAAGAAAATTACTTGCCAAAAGCCACACAGGAAAACCACAATTGAACAGAGACATCCAGTGCAAATATCTGCCTGGCACCTTAGACTTCCTCTTTTGAGGCTATACTTTGTCAAGTCAGATGTTTTAAAAAATATTTCCCTTAGAACATTTGTGCTTTCAGCCATTCGACACACAAGAGCTAGTAAGCTATGCCATTTAACCAGGAGGTATAAAAAAATTTATCACTGCGACTAATGTTAGCTGAGGCAAACCAGTTTGATCCTTTAGAGACTAATAGACCAAGACGGAAAAAGGACAATTTCCTCCACAAAAAAACATGCTCTCTCTAGAGAAAAAAAAAAAAAAAGAGACTGTTTTGGCAAAGAAAACTAGCCAAGTACCTCAACATGATAAACAAGGCAAATTAGAGTTAACCTGCTCCCACGCCCTGCTCTAGTCAGGGCACCATTACTGCTATTAATTATTTGTCAGATGCCATTTGTGTTTTATAAACAAGCAGGTATCTCCCTTAGCCCACACCATGGCTCACACGCACACCATACCACATTGGAAGCCCCCTGATAGGGACTAGAATGGCTAGAAAGAGCCTGGAGGGTTTCTGGTTTATTTTATACTATCTGATGGAAAAAAAAAAAAAAAGTCATACTCCTTCAGACCTTCTTGCCAAGGCAGAGGGTGGTTATCAGCTGTGGCCCTTTCACATCAGCTGAGCCCAGGCTGCCCCACTACCTCAGGGTAGCACACTCAGCAATTGGGGCAGATGCAGAAGATACTGTGATGCTGCCCTCCTCCCCACACACTGATAAAACAGGCTTCAGCTGTGACATTTCAGCTCACCCCTCTTGTAGAGTTCATGTTCCTGTTGACTTCACCACTCCCTTTGTTTTTCAGGTATCTTTCCCTGCAAGAAAAGGAGGCGTGACCAACAGAACCATGCATGGTTCTCGGAGGTAAAACCAAAATAGCTAGTGATTAAAGACCCAGAACTGCCAACCCCACCTCCTCCTTGCACAATGCAGCGGGAGGGACCAGGACATGGAGCTCCAGGTCCGTGAGACATGCCCCAGCTATTTAGCATCTTTACTGGGAGTATTTTGCCATCCTTTCTCTCTAACTGCCAGGTGTTTCCAACATATTAAGCATCATCTATGGAAGCAAGACAGAAACTACATCCACATATGCTTTCATCCTGGGTTTGCTCCTCATATCCCCTGCAATATGGAACTAGTTTGAGAGCCAGCAGGGTACATAGGTTTGCCAAAGACCTACAGATCAGTCTCTGGCCTAGGACAACAGTGAGACTGTCAATGTAGGAGGAAGGGACAAACCACAGAGCTAGGACCGCGGCCCAGACAGACACGCCAGCTACTGCAGGGCCACCAGACGATACTCACAGAAGCCGCTTGCACATGAGGCATTTGTTGAGGTCAGTTTTGCCATCGGGGCCTCTGACAGGCTCATTGTCATAGGGGCAGGAAAACTTCCCGCTGCGTAAGAGCGACCAAGTTTTCATGCACTCACGCTGAAAAACATGCAGGAGGCCAATCAGTGGAAAAAGGCAATGAGAATGCCCAAACTCACTGAGAGGGCCGTTACTCATGAGAAAAGGAATACAGGTTTAATTTGCCTACAGCTACAAATTGCTACCTGCTGCTGCAGGAGTACGCTATAAGAAGCTAGTCAAGAGCAGAAAATATAGCCCTACAATTGCCAGCAAAACCAGTGAACCTAACTGAAGAGTGGATCAAGAGATGAAGTTCAGAAAAGCACTATTCTCTTGGAAAGTAGAGCATTAATACTCTCCCTAACACTGTATCAACCAATTCACTCTTCTTTTTGGCAGATGGAAATACAGACTCTAGAGAACCAATGAATCATTCAGTTATCTTTGGCTAACATGTTTTCTAAAAGCATCTTTACTAAGGAAAAAGAAAATTATTTGATTAAAACATGGACTAAGATTACTTATCAGTCACTGAATCAATCACTTTGAGACTCACATGGACTTGGCTTCGTTTTTTTTTTCATTATCATGTCCAGAAATTGCCAAAAAACAAGGGTTTCTGAAGGATCAGAAGCCTGCTGTAGGTACTATTAGAAATACAACTCATTACCTTTTCATAAAATTTCTAGGCTAGAGCAGTCAGGTATATACTCAACACAGTACACCAAACAGACTACATTAGCTAGAACCACTATTTGGTATAAGTGCTTTGTCACTAAATAAGGAAGATTTCACTCCATTTTTTCTGTCCCTGGAAAAGATTATAATCTTTCATTTCAGTCTGTCTGCTTAACTTTGCTCACTGTGCATTAAGCAGCGCAGATGGCAAAAGAAAAAGAATCAGAATAGAAAAAGGTTGGACTCGCCTTTATCGAAGCTTGGCTGGCAACATCTGCAACAAAAAACAAAACAATGAAACCATACAGAATCTTTGAAAGAAAATTTTAAAATCAAAAGCATTTAATTAGAGTACTTGATGCAGTTTTCTAATCCATCCCAATACCTCCAGATAAAAGCTAATCCTAAGCATCATGACACATTGGTAAAAAGAACTGTGTAAGAGACTTTTCTGGAACGCTGCATTTTTTTGTCATTCAAATGAGTTTTTTTTTTTTTTCCATCTTCATTCCTTTACTGTGTTAGCTTTTTCAGTCTTAAAAATCGATGTTTCAAGAATGCTTCAGTAACTGTTTCTTTTCCGTTTAGCCCATGTCTCTTTAGTGGTACTTTGTTCCCCTTTCTTCTTCATTAAAACTGGGGGGGCAAAGCAGGCCCATCATGCAGTTGCTTGCCCAAATCTGTAAATTACTGTTCAGAAGACATTCCATTTGCTATGCTTCACAAATTACCAACTTGGTAATGATTCAGTAGACAGGTAGTTGCTATCTGTTTCTTTCTGCTAAGCAATTTAGGGACAGTATAATACATGTTTCATCCTTTTCTCTTGCATCATCTGTGACATCACAGGGAACTATCAAAAAATCCTCCATTAATATATATTTATGTTGAAAAGGAGATAAAGTGAAAGACCATTAGACCAAATCTAAACTCCTCCTAAAGCCTCTTTATTGTAGCCATATGAAAATGTATTTGCAAATAGTTGACAACACATTCTGATTTCAATCTCAAGCCCCTTTTGATTCTGTGATTTTCCTGCATTCATCAAAAGGTGTATTACATTTTTAGTTTAATGTTAAACTTTTTATGCAAACCATCTGGAAATTTGTATTCATCCACAGACTTTCTTTAAGCTGTTACTAAACTCTGCTAAGAACAAATACTTTTAATCCATTGGTGGAACTTCACCATTTTCACATACAAAAGAAAAAAGGCCATTATTAACAATGCTATATAACATCAATACCATAAGTATTAAAAGTGATGGTTGTTTTGTTATGTTACTATGCTTTTTAGAGAAAAAGTCCTCTATAATTTTGTATCTCACTGTTTTTAAGGGAGCTCTCAAGGCTGCATGCCATGCCAGTCCCAGATTTCAGCACAGAGAACATCAGAAGTTACTGACCTGAGAAGCAGAAAAATGCCAGAACAAGGACCACCGAGGCACCTCCTATTTTCATGGTGAAGGTGGCAGTTGTTTGCCTATGTTGACTCTACTAGTGCATTGCTCAATGAAACCCAAAGAAAGGGCTCAGGTCAGATCACATATATATAGAGGAGCAGATTCTCCGCCTTCATTATGACATAACCTGCCCAAGAACGATCATTAGCCACAAAAACCAGTCTGATGACAGTAACTCTAAATTCTAATGATCCCATTAACACAATTAATTTCCATAAGGATGGGACATATTTGAGTCACTCCCTGCATTTTGTCAGGGAAGAAAACTACGAATAAATCATTTCAGTTTCTCCACAGTGCTGAAGGAATTCATGTCAACTTCAGGGTGGTTTGTAGGACAGAGGTACTCCAGTTGGCACATCATCATTTTCCTTTCATATCCCAGCACAATAGCTGAAAAGGTTTTATTTTAACAACTTGTCCCAGTAGAGACAAAAGGAGAGTCAGGTCACAGAAGACCTCTGGAAGTCAGTCTATTTTTATAAAAGCATCCCTATATGAACTTAAATAGTAAGCAACCAGGCAAGGTTGAAAAATGTCAGATGTGGTGCTTTGCTGAAACACTCTGAATTTGTTCCCAAAGACCACACAACAGCAGTGCTAGTGAGATAAGTAGGTTCCAGAACCCTCATCCCTTCCCTATCTCTCCCCATTGTT